AATTCAGGATTAATTGAGTTATTTATTATTCCTTTTTTTCCTTTTTATAGTTGAGAAAACTTAATGCGCGTAAATTTATAGCGTTCTTTTTTTCGTTTTTTTTTTCCGAGAATTCTAAACTGGCATATCATTCCAATTCTTTGGAAAGATTCTTAAATAAGTAAGTTTTTTTTCCACGAAACGTCAAATAAGTTGTCTATATTAACACCTACTAGAAGATCTGTCTGAATGTCTATATTCACTTTTCTCTGATTCTCCGTTTTTTTTTTCCGCTGCGTCTTTCTTTGCCTTCCTTCCCTAAATCGCTGGAATTAAAACCACCTTCGCTTTGAACTCGCCAACTTCTCGTTTTACAGATACAATGCCATTTTTATTGGTGCAAAATATTTGGCAACTATAAATAAGCTAAGGACATTTTAAAGAATCAATAGTTCTTTAAAATGTTGTCTGTTATAAATTAAATAAATACACTCAATTGCTCATGTGAAAATTAATGAAAAAAAAAAAGTATGAAACAATTCTCCCTCATGAAATCACATGTTAATTAATTGTATGGAAAAAAAAGAGATGTAATTTGAAAATTATTTTTTTGAAATATCGTCTGATAACTTTTAAGCACTTTTACCACTTAAATTCGTAATACAAAAAATTCATAAATTATGTTCTATACACAGTTTGATTTATTTTTCAATTTCAACTACAATTTCTTTTATCTTTGTAGAAAATGGAACTTTTACAATTTGTTGCAATCTTAGGTTTAAAAATCAACCAGACAGAATGCAACGTTGAAATGCGTCGATTATAATGTTCGAATTTTTATTTAGAATTCATAGTTTTTCTCAATCTTAACTCTTACAAACGAACTTTTTTCCGCAATGGAAAAACAAATATTTTACTCTTTTAATTTGAAGCATTTTCTCGTTTAACTGAATTCTTCTTTAATCACCTTATGTGAAACGTTTGGTATATTTTTTTAGCATGCATTTTAATGTGACTTTTATTGCTTTTGATAGTATTATTTAGAAAAATTCGAATGAATTCATAATTAACAGAATATGAATGAACTCTTTTTTCTAGAATTCTCCGATTTTCATTGCTGTTTCATTATCTATAATTTGAAATTGTTATTTTTAAATTAATTGAAATTGTTGAATCAAACACTCTACGGAACGAAAGCAAATAATAATTTTCTCCTTTTTATTTGTGGTAAACGTAACTATTCAAGGTTGTTTATTCCATATTGTGTTATGTCCCGCTTCTATAAAATAATTCGCATTAATATTATTTGAAAGTAATTCTGAATTATTTTATCAGAATGAACATGAAAATCTTTTTAATTTATGGGATAAAACGACTTAATAAGCATGAGCTGGAGGAAATAAAAAGAAACTACCTTTGCTTAATTATTTTGCAAGCGTTATTTTGAGCATTTAGTTTTTGGGGGTACTTTTTGATTGTTCACCGCAAGGAAATTAAACTTTTTTTTTTTTTAATTTTATTTAATTTTTATATGTTTTAAAAAAAAGAATTGGCGGAAGTCTTAGATGTTTTTGAGACTTTTGGTTTGTGCCCGGCTAACCGAAAAGTATATTTTTTATAATCCTTCTATGAAATTTTTCTTTCTTTTATTGGCCCAGTGACCATATTTCTATCTTTTTATTCATTAACGGTGCTGTATATATGTATATATATATATATATATATATATATATCTTCATAGTTTGATACCTTACTTTCAAGTATTCTGTAATTATTTTTATCTACCCGAATATCTCTTATTTTTCCTGTGTTAGTCGTCATCTGCATTTCCGACATTACAATTGCAGTCGTTAATTTTTTTTATTTAAACCGTTATTTTATTTTATTATTTAAATAATAAAATAATTTTTAAAGCAACTTTTCTATGGATCTGCGTGGAATATGTGGTAAATAAAGTATTGCGTGAAATAAAAATCGACTTTTCATAGTCTCGGCTAATTTTCCAGGTAATACGTTTATTTCATATTAAGTTTACACCTTAAAATGTGTTTCAAGAATTTCTTATACATTTTTAAAGAAAGCAGATGAAAATTCGATGGTTTATTTGATTATCATAATTCGAAAACCAACAACTTATAACTAATAAAAATAGAATTATATAGTCTCGATACTAATTTTACAGGTATTATGTTTATATCATATTAAGTTTACACCTTAAAATGTGTTTCAAGAATTTCTTATACATTTTTAAAAAAAGCAGATGAAAATTCGATGGTTTATTTGGATTTATCATAATTCGAAAACCAACAACTTATAACTAATAAAAATAGAGATTTTTTGTCTCGATACTAATTTTGCAGGTATTATGTTTATTTCATATTAAGTTTACACCTTAAAATGTGTTTCAAGAATTTCTTATACATTTTTAAAGAAAGCAGATGAAAATTCGATGGTTTATTTGGATTTATTATCATAATTCGAAAACCAACAACTTATAACTAATAAAAATAGAGATTATATAGTCTCGATACTAATTTTACAGGTATTATGTTTATTTCATATTAAGTTTACACCTTAAAATATGTTGCCAGAATTTCTTATGAAAGTTTTTAAGAAAGCAGATCGGTGGTTTATTTGAATTATTGTTGTTACAAAACCCCCACTTTTCTCATACAGTCTTTAAAAATTTTGTACCAAATTGTGGCAACATATTTCAAGGTAAACTTTACATAAAATGAACTTAATACCTTGAAAATTAGCCGTGACTTTTGTTTCATACGTCTTCGTCTTAGAATTCATTGAGTTTTCGAAAAAAGTTGCATCTTACTTTTTTCCTAGATACGCGTTTTAAAAGCGCAACTATAAGCCAATTAAACACGTGTTTCAGATAACTTTAGAAATGCTAATTCGGTGGCATAAAACCGATCCACTTGCCATTCACGTTGATGACTTGTCAAAAATAATTAAACAACGTGCTATAAAATCTTAAACAGAATAATTTTATTATAACAATGGCTAATGTTTAACTAATGCGAAAAAACTATTCAAACATTTCTCTTGAACGGAATAATTTAACTTTTTTAGCGATTTTACGGGTCTAAAATTGCTTCTCTCTCAAATGATGTGTAAATTTCAGAACCAACGGTTTTGGAGTTATAAAGAGATTCAAAATAGCTTTCCCTAATAAGGACAGACAAATATATTGAGTAAACACAAAAAAAAAGTTGGGAAAAAAATATTCACATCAGCGGTTGCAAACTAATACTTATGTAATAAATTAAAGTGCTATCGAATTTTGACCAATCATTATCAAGATCTAACGGAGCAAAAGAGGGATAAAAATTGTAGTGAAGAAAATATTTTACTCGCTATTTTACACACAAAAAAAAGTTTAAAAATAACACTATGTATGATAATTTTTATTTCTTTTCAAAATGCAAACTATTGTCATTTATTTGTTTTAGTAATTATTATTTATCTTTAATTTTTAACAAAAATGTTTGATATTTATCGTTAACATGATATTAAATTTGTTTTGTATTTTTAAAATAAACTTTTTTAAAGTTATTTTATACTCAACTTAAAAGTACGCAGCAAATAATTATTTACCCTTTTATAATTATAATTTAACGATGAGTCTTGTTCATCCTAACATCGTACTCTATATATCATTAGAAAAAGCGTTTGTTAGAAAAATGCGTTGAGATGTTCATCATTTAATAATATTCAACCTATAACGATAAACGTATACATATTTAAGTAGTTTCAATTGATGCTGCATATAAATTCACTGCATTGTTTCATATTATATTTGACAAATGAATATTAATTTGAAACATCTATAAAACTGTATGACTGTGGACATTTCTTTCTTCTACCATATAACTCTTTCACAAATTCAATTTTTCTGAAACTAAGCAATTCGATTTATTTGAAAATTTATCTACTCGGTATCTTAATATTTTTCAGTTTTCATTTAAGAATTTTGTAGTATTCATGTTATGTTGAAGTGTCCTGTGATAATCTTATGAAATTAAAATCACTTCCAGTTGAATTCTATATAAACATAGAATACAATTTCATCTAAACAACTTATATTCTTTGATTTAATTTAAAAGAAATCAAATTTTATTTTACGAAGACGTGTGAAGTATATAAACTTTTTCATATTCTTTTTTTTCTAGAGACTTCGAATTTCCTACAGATAGCTTATAAATTATATTTAGTTGATGTAATGTATATGCTACAATATCCCGTAGATTGTTTCATTTAAATTGAAAACTGATACATTGAAATCATTTTAATTACAAGAGGGCTGCTTTAATGAAACAAATGACTAAATAAAAATTATATGTAAATTCATTGGTCAGTATGAATTTTCAATAAAATAATGATTTGATTAAAAGCGTTTGACATCAAAAATGTTAAATTTAATCTCGAGATATACGTATAAAAAAAAATTTTAAATTGTTTTTACAAACTAACTTTTAACAAACTTTTGTAACAAATTTTTATAAAGGGAAGCGATGGAAACAGTTTTGACTTGCAAAGTGTGCGGTGAGTTAAAAAAAGTTAGAAACTTCTGGTTTAATTCCTCCTTTGCTCTAATGAATTTTTATAATCAATTTAATATTCTTGGTCTAAGTTTTATTTGAAAGACTGATAACTTTTAGGTATTTTGAGTGTTTTTTTTAATGTATTCAAGACTGATAAAGTTTCAAAAGTATAAATCATATAAAACAACATGAATAAATTATTTTATTCTGATCCTTAATGGTCATATTTTTTTGATACATAATGGAAATTAGTGGCTGACTGCAAACCCAGACCGAAAAGGGATACTGTTTTTTTATTTGGAGGTCTAATATTTCTATTTCCTAAAGGAATAAATTCAATTTTATTGTTTTTGTTTTTTAAATTAAATAATTTGTCACACTAGTAACAATGTGTTCTCTTAAACCAAGGATTAAGTGACACATAAAAACCACATGAATAATTTATTAGAAATGAAACATGAAATAATACATTTAAATGATTTTTATTTACTTTCCTTTAATCTAAAAAATAGTGTTAAAAAGTTTAATAACACACACACATCCAGAAGCATTTTATGTATTCGTTTGAATTGTTTCAACATATAAAAATGATTTTTAAATAGTTACATGTCACACACTGAAATTCTTTGAAATAAAAATAGGTTAACCTTTTTAATAAAAAGATTTTTAGAAACTTGTAAGCGAATGCTCTGTGCAAATTTCATCTTAAACGAGTTGAAATTATTCATTCAGTTTCCGTAAACAAACAATATCATTTAGTTGAGGGCTAAGATCACAAACAGACCAAGTTTTATTCCCCCTTTTTTTCCTATAATATTTTTCAAGAAAGCTTTAAGATGACAACAATATGTGAAGTATTTATTCATAATTAATGAATGAATTGTTTTTATAAATATTAATCTTATAATTTTTGAGGGAAGAACTCAATTTAAATAAGTATTCTCAACCTTATCTTTATGATATACACTGCTCAAGAATAAGTAAAAAACCGTTAATTATGCATGCAGTTTTTTTCTTCTTCCCTTGTAGTACCGTAACTGATAGGTAAATCGTCACAACTTTGAAAATGTGCCATTTGTATTCATGTAAAATTTGTAAACACCACAGTAAAGGAACAAAAAATTAAAAACTGAATTCTTTTCTGTGTACAAGCAATAAAAATTGCTTAATCATATTGGAATATAGTTTTTATTACGTGCTAACTATCAACCTTGTGTTTAATATTGTATAAAATTATTTATCTTAAAAAAATAATAAAATTAATAATTTATCTAAAATATATAATTGCGATTATTATTTTTAAAGGAGGAGTAATTTTAAAATGGCTGTAAGTCACAGCAAGAAATAAAGATTTTAAATTCTGTCTTCTTATTTATGGAAACTTAACATTGCAACAAACGGCAAATTTTTTAAAAGTTTATTATGCTCTTCTAAAATATGCTGACAGTTACTTAGACAAAAAAATTCTTCAGTGCTTGAATAAAGTGAAATTTGTAGAGTTAATATGAAGGTTTTAATAGTGACTGGACTCCATCTTCTTACTGAAAAAAGGGAATTTGCCTCACTTTCGGGTTCATACAAGTAACCTCTATATTATTTTAAAACTAGTAACTCTCCTTATTTTTTTTCCCTTCCTGCCAAATGCAAAACAGAGGAAACGACAAAATAGGCATGCACTCACTAGACTTTAAGGATCTCTGTATTTTAAAATGAACAAAAGTAGAGCTGTCCTACGATTCTAACAAGGTCCTCAAATAATAACTAGTGACCTATCCTATTTTTTTTTTGTGAGCAGTGTGTGATTCGGCTGAGTAACCATGCATATTAGAAAAATATTTTAATCGAATAGGTATAGCTCGTTTGTAATCTGAACCCTCTATGTCTCTGTAGAGGAACTTTCTTCAACAAAACTCTCCACTCAGAGTGGAAGATGTTCCAACCTAACAGATTTATCAACTCAACTTTGCCAGGTCTGGACAAGTTTCTGATGGGCTGAGCTCAGAAGTTTGCCAGGCCTGAGAGACCCAACATTTTGCAATATGAATAAGGCTATCAACAATGCATAGTTATTTACACTATCTCTTTTACATAAGACGCGAAATATTATATCCAACCGCTTATTTGTTTTACAGCTTTTGTGATCTCCCTATGAACTAGAGCACTTATTGTTCCACCAGACGCTGCCACCGAAACTCCACAACTGTAATCAGGTGGTGGTATCTGAGGTATTTTGTCCGAAGAACCGTTACTCATACCAGAATACAAATCACAGTTACTGTGACCCTTTTTTAAAAAGTTACTTTTATAGGCAACTGGTAGTTGATAAGAAGGGATAATAGTGGGTGATCTTCCGGTTGACAGTTTATTAGATTTTCCGTTTGATTCATTAACTGGAAGACAGCTGCTTTGCCTGCCTAGTAGTTCGTTATTAAAGTTGTTGTTTCTTTTAACCATGAAAAAGTTCGTCGAATCTACTACTTTCGTCTCCCCTTCCATCAATTTTCTTGTTCTTGCCTCGTTTGTTTCCCGTCTATCCTCTGAACGACTCCGTTGCGCCATTTTACGATTTGTTTTTAAGGTTGGATATCGAAAAGGAATAATGGTCACATTGTCGTCTTTCAGTCGTGAGGTAACTCGACTTGCACGAACCTCTGGAGGAGGTTCGGGTATAACTGGGTAGCTCCAATTTATCCCCGAATCTGATTCGGATTCACTGAGAGCAGAATCGGCTGATTCTTTGTCTGAGTTCGACGTTTTAGACCCAAAACCGGTTGAGGTACTTGATGTTTTCGTTTGAAAACAATTTTTTTTCAGAGTCAAAGAATTGTTGGAAGAATTTGATTTGGTGCTAAGATTCGGTGAATATTTGGTTGAATCTTCGTAGCAGGAACTGTCTGATCTAAAGCCAACTGGAGGCCGAATTGTGGGAACGTCTATAAAGATTTCTTCAGTCCCCAACTGACCACTGTCTCCAGAAAGAACGGGATCATCTTCATCGATGAGAAAATGATTTTTGATATCAAGAATGCTAATTTGATTCAACTCTTCATCAGGCTGAAAATTAATATAAGCTGTAATTAGAAAATATTTTAAATCGAAATTCTATTGAAAATATTTAAAATAAATTAAAAGGATATTTCTCTAGGTAATAAAGTTTGTCGTGAAATTAAATCGAAATGCTATCTCCCAAGAAAAATGAATCTTCCTGTTCCATAAGAAAGTGACTTTTGATATTAGGAATGATAATTTGATTGAGATCTTCAAGTAGCAGAAAGTTAAAATTAATAAAATATATTGTTTAAAAATGTTTTTAGAAGGAAATTCCGATTAAAAATTTATTGTTTAATATAAGTAAAAATGATGTTTTTAGGTATTGAATGTATAGCGTGAAATAAAATTGAATTGCAATTATAATTGTAACACTATCTCTCGTAAAAAATAATTCTTCTTCAATGAGAAATTACATCCAAAATATTATAATGAGTCAATTTTTTATCTGACTAAAATTTAAATATATCACTAAAAATGTATTTAAAATAATCTGAAAATTCTTAATTTTAACTAAAATGATATCTCTAAGTTTGTACCAATGCACATAAAAAAAAAATATAGAATGGAATGCTATTGTTTTCCTAGAGAACTTACTTTTGGCTTCTTCATTTCTGATTTGAGAGTTGTTACTTCTTCATTTAAATCTTCACATTTCTCTTTCAACTGAAACACGAAAAAAAAAAGGATTATATTAATTTTAGCTATATATGTTTAGCACTAAGCGCTGTGTTCATTCAATACAAATTATGAAACATATTTATCAGGACTAGTACGCATCTGTAAAAATGTAAAAAAAGTGGCAGTAATTTTGAGATGAAAACTTACATTGTTTAATATTTTTCTCTAGCAGAATATTTTACTAACTTTAAGTAAATATATCGAGATCCGAAGTAAAAGGATTTTAATTCTAAAGTGCAACCTGATTCTAAGAAATTTTTGGCATTTTTAGAACAAAATGTATACTAATTTTTTTGTTTTACGTACACGCAAATCCTGTTGTTCTGACTACAAAGAAACTGTTTTACTCTATAATTATATCTGAAATTTAATTAAAAATTTTATACGTGAGTAAATATAATGTTAAATAAGTAAGCGAAATTATTATACATTTGATTGCTCGTGTATACAGAATGAAATTTATTTCTAGCAGACGAACTGAAAACAAAGTTAAAATTTTATATTTCATGAACTGAATCAATTAATGGATACTTTACGTAGATTTGGTGTCCTTTGGTTGGTAAAAATACGAAGCGAAACGTAGTTTGATACAGTTAACACGATTTTGCGGCGAAGTCTGTAAAAAAATTCTCGAAGTGAAGTTTTTCTTTTTCTTCTTTTTTTAACCCCTATTTTTTCATTTTTAAACCATTTTTTTTAAATTCTTTTTTTTAACCTCTAACGATTTTGAAGCTGCTTGTCATGAATGTCTAACTACATCAGATACAAGAGCTTGTAATCCTGTATTACATGAATTTGCCTGTAAGCGGTTCTTCTTCGTAAGCACTACAGCCGGTTACCGACCGAGCCCGTCTCAGTCAATTTACCCCATCTAGTACTATATTCGATGCTATATTTCTCCATCTGTCCTTTAACCACTTCTCTACTCTATCTAAATCATCTTTTTCTAGGTCTTCCTTCTGTCGTATGGAAAGTAATTTTTGAACAGGATTTTCATCTCTACATTGAAATACATGTCCTAGCCACCTTATTTGCGAAGCCTCGATCACTTCTACTATGTTAGGTTCTTTGAATTTTGATTGTAATTCATGGTGGTAACGAATTCTCCAGTTTCTGTTCTCTCTTACTGCCCCAAAAAATTTTCTTACTATTTTTCGCTCAAAAGTCATCAGTTTTTCTTCGCCTGCTTTATTAATTGCCCAACATAAAACTATTGGTCTCACTAGTATCTTGTACAACTGTATTTTTTGTTTGTTTCACAACTTATTAATTTAGATTTGAACTGGTTTCTCAATCATTGATCACATCTGTGAGCCATGTTGATTCTATTTTTGATTTCAACTTTTTCGTCATTATTATTATTTGCAATTGCGAAGTATTTAAATTGAGCTACTTTTTCAAACTCATATGCATTAATTTTTAGTGGTTGCAGATTTATGATTCTTTAAGCACTTAATATCTAATAAAATAAGTTATAGACATAAGTTAGCTTTGGGACTCAATGCATTTCATACGCTGTAGCGTCCTAATTAAGTTTACACCAAAGCGCGTGAACAAAAAACAAATTGCTAGACGATTTAAAAAACAGTTGCTAGAGCTATTTCTTACCTCCAATTCAATTTGCATCAAGTTAATTTTGTCCTCTTCTAATTTCTGAAAATAGAAATATTTCATTAAATTAGAACATCAAGTAATTGTGACAAAAATTAATAATAAAAAATAACAAAATTAATAACATGTTTCTACAGAAAATATATCTGATATGACTCAACCCTCTGTCCGTATACTAAATTACATGTTATTTAAATACGCATTTAGATTATAATGAATGATATATATTGATTTGGTGAACACATTTTCAATTAATTTTTACGGTGAGCAGAAAAAAATGTCACTCGGAATAATTTTTGATCTAATAATCGTATTTCCACGTTGTTAAACGCAAAACATATCTGATAGCGTCTTAAATGCACTAAGCAATTTGTGATTCCTAGAAATCCGTTATATATATATTATGGAAAAATAAGTTTTGTACCTGATTTATGACCTTAAGTGCTTAAGTGGGCATTCAAATTGTAACGATTGCATATGAGTAGAAATCTGATAGTTTGAACAAATTTATTATGTATCTTGGTAGGTTTCTATTGTGCTCACTGGAGATTTACCACTCGACAACGTTTTTAAAAAAATAGATTGCATTTTTTCAGTATAAAAGCAAGTCTACTTAGCTAAATAATTAATACATCAATTATGCAAATCAAAAATGTTAATTACAAATTACTACCACCTTCTTTTTCTTTTTTTTTTAAACTTGTGAAATATTTAGATCAGAAGATCAACATAGTAATGAGCAAAATTATTTTTTTTTTTTAATATTAATCGTACAGGTCATAACCCAAGCTAAAAACATTTAATGAAATTTTACGCGAAGATTCTCATAGCATTTAATTTACACTAAATAGCAATACTTTAATTGCGACTTATTTGTACAGTACAGAGTGGTCCCGAATTCATGGTACAAACTTTAAGGCTAGATATAGAACATTCTAAAAATCAATTATTGTATAGAAATGTATGAGTGCAAGTGACGCAGTGAGGCGCAAACATTAGAAATTTAAAAAAAAGAGAAATGGAGTTATCGGTTGGTTGTGTTGCCGGTAGAGGGCAGTAGATGTCTAGCCGCCGTTCAACATGAACTTTAGTCGACTTTACTTAAGTCGAAAAAGTAGACATGCATTACATGTACGACCGCGCAAATGGTAACGGCAGATCTGCTTTACGAATGTAGCACGCGCAGTTTCCTGATCAACGAATGTCGGATCACAGAATTTTTCAGGAATTGCATCGTCAACTTCGTGAAACAGGTTCATGCGACGTCGTCTACGAAGAGCTGTACGCAGTTCAAGCCTGGAAGAAAGCATCTTGAACATTGTGGCTGATAGACCCGAGTCAAGTACAAGAGCTGTTGCTCATGACGTAGGTGTGAGTCATCAGACCGTTTGTACAGTCTTAAACGAAAATGCATTTAAACGTTGCTTTTATATTCGAACTTAAACGTTGCTCGAATATCCGAAGCAGCTGCAGGTGTGCGTGAAATACAATATTTGAAAGTGTACGCCAATCACTCCACCGACACTGTCAAGCATGTATCGCTACTGGTGGACGAGATTTTGAACAGTAAACATTACACCTGTCCACGACGCTTTCCATAGACACTTTTCTCTTTCGTTTCTTATTTTTTGTGTTTGCGCCTCACCACGTCACTTGCTCCCATACATTCAATAATTGATTGTTACAATGCCCTGCATAAAGTTTGCACCATGAATTCGGAACCACCCTGCATATTATGATACAAAATCTGTAATTACATTGTTTTATGAATGTTAAGATACGCTTCACTATGCATTTGAACAATTCTGTAGTAATTTATGCAAAAACTAAAATTATTACCGCAAAAAATAAACTTATTTTTTTATAAAATTTTTATTGTATTCATTTTAACGAAAAATCTATGGTCGTAATTTCCAAATTGTCCTAATAAAAAACTATCATCGTGATAAATACCTTAAAAATAGATACCAGTAATATTTAAAGTAGAAGGATAATAAAAATCTATTTACTTGTAGGGCTTGACGAAGAAGTTGCACCTGAAAAAAGAATGATAAAATATAGCTAAATGAAAAAAACTATTAGAATGAGCCTTAACTAACTTCCTTTACTTTCTATTGTTTTCAACCGAGTTTTAAGAAAAAAAATTTCTAGCTATATAGCCTTAAATTAAATCTACAGTTAACACGTAGTTAACACGTATTTTGATTGTATTGTTTATTTGATGGAAATTCATTAATAATATTTTCTGTGTTGTGGCGCTTTAACCCAATGAAATTAGCATTTGATCATTTAAATTAAATCACTTTTTTTTTTATTTGACTTGCATTACTTTACGTTACATTTACATTACTTAACGTTAGATTTTGTTTTGCTACTCAAAAGAAATTTGAGATTACTAAGGGGAATAGAAAAAAGAACAGGGAATGCACTGTAAAATAAATAAAATTAAACATTCGATAATTAGTTCAAGAATTATTAACTGTTGAAATAGTAGAAAAAAGTACCATGTGTGCCGCTCTACAGGCCGCAGTGATATTTCGTGTGCTGAAAGGACCCTTTTAGTTTAGGAGCTTTTTTCGAAATTTTAATTTGTTTGAAGATTATTGGTATTGGAAACTCCTATTTTAGTAATCAAATATGTAAATAGTTTTAAATAATTCAAAATTTTTTAATACTTTTAAAATATTTTCAAAATTTCATGTGACTCATTGATTAATAAACAACAAATAAAAAAATTAATTTAAATTTGACAAATCCAAACGTTACAGCTATTAGTATAAAAATCAATACACTGCATTAATTGCTTTTTATTCATGTAGTTTTAAATATTCTAAAAAATATACTCAGTTTTTAAAATAAAAATTATGATTTAAATAAATATGCTTATTTTTAAAATAAAAATTATAGTTTTTGTACAACAAAACAACACAAGTAAATAACAAAATAAGCACAAGTTATCTTATACATTTTATTTTATAAAATATTCGAATTTGCGCTCAACCATATAACTTATAATCTTTTTTAAAAAATAAGTCAAGGACTATTATTTTATGTAGAGTAGAAATAATAAATATTTAAAGATGACTTTACTGTATCCTTATGAATTAATTTGAAAACATTTACGATAAATAAAAATATAACAGTATAATTAAGTCAATACTTGGTGAATAATTAAGTCACGCACGCACAACCATGTTCGCTGTTATACATTTTTTCAAGTTCACTAAGTCTAGATAAGCAACACACGATGTAAATATAGTTTAGGTTTACCTTATCCATGTTACTTATTTTGTTTTGCTCCTAATTCACGATTGAGTGCATTTTAAAAGAAGCGTCTTTTTTTATAAACGATGTTATTTAAATTTATTATAAGTAAAAAAAATATATCACAAAGGAAGGAAAAAGAAAAGAAGGAAAAGAAGAAAAAAAATATTGTGGGTGAATAAAAAAAAAATTATAAATATAAAGGAATAGATAGTATAAATAAAGTAAAACAAATGGAAAAGAGCTGCAATTAATATCATAATTAATAAAGATTATTGATCCATCATAGAGACATGAATCGAGTATCTAAAAAAATTAAAACAAAAGTTTGCAAAAAAAAGTAAAAAGAGTGGTTTAATTTATTTCTCATGAGTACCTCTGTGCTAGGTTAAATTTTCTGTTAGGGTTTTAAATAACTTCATTAAAATATAATTTTAATACTATACAACGATAATTTTAATTAATCAATTTCATTATGTCATATGAAATATTTAAAAATTAATATCATCTTTTAATTATTTTTTTACTTAGTGAAAAATTTTTTTTTGATAATGATCTTTAAAAGTACCATACGGAAAAAAAACCACTTCATTTTTCACCCAAAATCAGTTTCAGTCTTCATATAATAAATGTTAACTAATATTTATTAATAGGTTTAAATCTCAATTTATTTATTTAAAACTACTCTCAAAAATAATGGTGCATGCAAAAATATTCTCGTATGAAAGAAAAGATGTTTACTTCTTTTTGTAACCTCTCGTTCTCGGTCTCTAGATTTTGTTTACCACCCGTGACAGTTTCCATATCCAGATAAGACTTCTTCCATACTTCAAGTTCTGTCCAGACAGGATCAGTACAAGGAATACAGCGATTCCGTAATTCCTTTGGAAAAAAAATCAAAAGTATTTAATGACAAAAATGACGTTAATTAAAGTGAACTTTTTTGTTTAAATTGTGAACAGTCTTAAATGAATTAAAATGTATAGCAAAAATTGTAAAAAAGTGGCAATTATCCAGTATAACCACAGCTTACTATCGTCTTCTGAATTCCATAATCAATTCGTGTATGAAATGTGAATTTCCTTCTATAATCTAAATAGTATTTGAGTTGAGACGCAAGTTGCTATTTGAATTCGGAATAACAAACAAAAACAAATTCATCAATGAGAATGGTTCTATTGTTTTTCATAACGTTCTTCGCAACGTTCATAAAACTTTTCTTTCCCTCGTTGCAAGATGTATTTTGGAAAAATCGGAGCTGAAAAACCATGTACAAAAACAAGAATAAATCATTGTGTACCAAATCAGAGCTTTACAGGATGATCAACAATTCTAATCTTGAAGTATATAATTAATTGTGTAACTGTCTTCGCAGAGTATATAAAAATCAAGATTTTATGTTTTCTATAAGAAATATTCGTGATTTAATGCATGCTAGAACATTTAATATTAAAAACTGAAATTATTAAGAATTTTTGAATGTTTAACCATTGAGTAGTTTTGCATTTATGACATAATTTTAGCTACCTACATTTTTACAATTGGAACTGATATATACTTTCTCAAAATGTGACATCAATTGTTTTTGAGCTAAACGTCATATATTAAAATTAGCTTTGTAAATTTTCTATAACTTACAATGTGCAGATATGTACAATATTTACGATGTGTACATTATTTTGTAACCAAAAAAATCTCCTTAATTTCATTCAAAGATATTACTTTAAAACTTTTTATGTATATAAAAAAAAACCGTTTCATGAGCGATGTTATTTTAGTTCTCTATTTTAGACTTTCTTTATTGAATGAAATAAACTATGTTATAGATGCTTTTTGGGATTAAAAATAAAATATTTAAAATATAATTATTAATACATTAATTCATTTCTTTTAATGTCAAGAAACTTTTATAATAATTATCAATATAAATTTGCATAATTAAATAATTTTGAAAAAAGGCAATATCTTACGGCTTCTAAGGCGTTTAAATCCAATCCAGCATCTTCCAGTTCACACTGAAGACGTATTCGATCTGCAGGTCTAGGGCTTGTTTTCAGCAAGGTATTCAGGAACTTCAGTGCCGTGCTCTATAAGTTATAAGATTCAAATTATCATTGAATTTCAAGTAATTATATAATCATCAATAATCCATTGAATTTTAAATAAATAATTAACTCGCTAAATTTCGTAGAATGTTTTATTTGTATGTTTAAACAAATTTAGTTTAATAAATATTACGCTTAGTTTATTAAATATAACACTCAGCAGAAAATGTTACCATTCTTAGAAAACTATTTTACATTACCGCAAACATAAAGTACACTAAAGTAAATTATTGTAGAATCCAATCAGTTTAGACAGAACCTTAGAGCAACGATCAACTTAATTGATTAGGAATTGAGTTACTTACTCATCTTGTACGCTGTAAAAAAATTCTGGTTCATATTACGGTAAAAAGTAGTGGCAGCCTGAAAGCAGTATCCTTAAAATCCATTTTGCCAAAAAATTCGTTTTTACCATAAAATGTTTCACATATGTTCACAAATGTTCATAATTTTTACAGTAATAATTTTATTATTGTGAGTTAACAGTTACGATACATCAGATAAGTTTATTGTGTGGTACATCAGATAAATTTATTGATAAAAATTACGGTACATCTGATTTTTTGTTCCGTAAAATTTTACGATAAAAAATACAGGCACCCTGAGTGCCGGTACTTTTTACCGTATTTTGATCCTACTTTTTACCGTAATTATTATATTTTTTTATTATGTACAGTGTGCAAAAAAAGAAAAAAAAAACGGACCACAAAGAATTACTTTTGATTTAATGATCGGATTTTCACGTTCTGTGACTCAATCTTAATGGCTCGAGAATATGACAGTGCAGACGATATTTTAAGTTACGAAATCAGACACAAAAAAGTATTTTTTCTGAGTAAACATACCCTTTTTTCGATGGATTCGGATTTCTGACCCCCCCAAAATATAGGAGGTAGCCGCAATCTGGGAAGTATGGTCCCAATAGTTAGGTTAGGAGAGCGTTCCAAAGTTTGAACTCCTTAATGTTAATTTTTACTTTTTACGTATTTCGCTGTATCTCGAGAACTAGTAAAGCGAATTGAAAAATTTTTAAACTCAAATATAAATTTTCGTTCATCCAAAGATAACTCTCTGCACAAAATAACTTTTAGTAAATATTTATTATTCTTTATTATTTCATTTAAGAATGGTCGAAAATTTTTTGAATAGTAAGGTATACTATTTTTTGCGTCATTTTAAAGAATGTAGCAAAATACAAAATTTGAGCGAAATCGGTCGAATAATTCCTAAGAAATCGAATTTTAAGAATCTGACTTTTTTGAAATTTAATTTCTCAGAAACTGTTCGACCTATTTCCCTCAAATTTTATAATTTGCCATATAAAATTACAATCTTTAAAATGATGCAAAAAATTGAATACCTTACAATTCAAATTTTTTTCGGCCATAAAATGATAATAAATATTTATTAAAAGTTATTTTTTTGCATGGAATTATCTTTGGATAAACGAATTTTATAAATGAGTGTAATTTTTTTTTAATTTACTTAAAAATTTCTCATGATATAACGAAATCCGCAAAAAGTAAAATCAACATCCAAACTTTGAAGCGCTGTCCTGACCAACTAATGGGACCCTACGTCCTATATTTTTGGGGTCAGAAATCCAAACTCGCCGAAAAAAAGTATGTTTATTCAAAGAAAATACGTTTTTGTGTCTGATTTCGTAACTTAAAATAGTGTCTGCACTTATTAATTAGCATATTTGAGGTCACCCCCACGAGCCATTAAGATTGAGTCCTAGAACGTTTTTTTTTTTGTGTGGATCAAATATTGCACTGCGCTGTTTAAAATTTTGGACCATAAAATCGTTTAAAACTTGCTGCAATTTCAAGAAGTGGTCAAGTTGAACCATGTTATCGTTAAATTTAATCCTTTGTTAACTTGATTATTTGATGCTGTGGTTCAACATGAACGGAAACACAGTTAAAATTAACCTGTCTTAAAGTTGTAACGAAATGGAATGGTGATATGTAGTTCAAAGAATCGTTATTTGTTCAGCGTTGAACCCATTTCTCAAAGAAAGAATATGCGTTTTATTTTAAGAATTATTTGAGTTTTATTGTGATTTATATCAGAAAAGATCACCCTATTTAAAAATTCAAATGATTCCATTTAAGATTAATTGAAAATTCAACCAAATTAAAATTATGTAATATTTATCCTAATGAGTCTATTCATTTTTCTCCAATAAAATATTTTTATGTATATTTATAGTTCCGGTTGTCCCTTATAGACAGATTAAGTCCAGAAAAAGACTAGCTAAGATTCATTTTTTCTTGAAATATAAGGTATATAAGTATTGAAATTAGAGAGTTATAAATATGTATATAAAAGAAATTCAATTGTTCTAGAACAAAGAAATCTTCCTCCCCTCTCAACAGAATTTTTATTCCAAAAAAAGAATATTAAAAGAAAAGTATATATTAATAAAAATCATTATTCTGAGAAAGAGAATAAACCATATTTTGATTTTTATAGTTTCTCCGGATTCAGATTTTTCTGACTGAAAAATTGGTGTTATCTCAACTGGAATGGAACATTATGCTATAAATGAAAGAAAAAAGATTCGCTCTATTGGCCTGAATTCTGGGAAAATGTCTAAGTGCACTTCCTCACAGATTTACGGTAATTTGCGATTATTCGATAAATTTCGACGTTTTACCTATAAATTTCATCTATGTAAAAATAATCGAAATAAATGTCAGTTAAAGCATATCTAATGTAATAATAAGCTTCACAAAAGTGCTTGAATAAAACTATTTTTGCGTTATCATATATTATTACTTCGTGTCACTCGCTCTCTGTATATATATATATATATATATNATATATATATATATATTGTTTTAATCTAATAATCTATTAATCTTTTTAAATTTTGACCAGTACTGACCCACAATATTTTCTGTGCAATTCAGCTCCACGATATTTTACGTGCATAAGCAAATTTTAAATTCTACATTCCACAATATTTTGCACATGTTAGATTTTGTCGCACGATATTTTTCGTGTTTGAATTTTGCCCTACAATATTTTTTTTCGTGTTATTTTAAGCGTATGTGATTTCATCATACTATTATATTCTTTGAATGATTGTTGAGAATAAATTCTCACCTACATATATAGAATAAAAGTTGACATAACAAGTGGTTGAACACTTTACAAATGAACCAACTGTTCCAGGTCTGGTTTTCACGTTACTTGAATCATTTTTGGTTATAAAGAATTTCCACTTAAATAAATTTTGCTTTTTTATGTATTCACTAGCTTATGTCTGAAAAGGATATGATTTTTAATTGTTGATAATTTAAAGAATCTTTGCGTTTTAAATTGAATTTTGACCTTAATACCTTTTTTATAGATACTTAAATAAATTTAGAGGTTGTGGTAACCGTATAGAGTTATAATATAACTAGCGGTAAAATTTTTATTTTTTCGCTGAACCTTAATTATCTATTATTGAAAAAAACTAAACTACAATATTGAGTTAATCAAATGATCTTTAAACAAGACACATCAAAGAGTATCTGAAAAAAAATTAATAACAATAAAACAAAAACTGCTGCGTAATAAACATTTTTAAATTAGCGAGAATATTGAAACATTCTATAACGAAAAAAAAAACAACTGTGTCAACGAAATATATTCATAAATTCTAACTTTTTTTAACCCGATAAGCAAAACTCCGATTCTAACACGATTGGTTTCATATTACTGAGTAAAGTGTGAATTTCTTTAAAATCTCAAAAATCAAATAATGGATTTTTCTCACTCTGATTGTCCATTGTCCCCTTCAGAAGATTTTCAATTACTAATAAGGTAGAAGAAATTTAATGCGTTATTAATTTTGAATAAATTAAAATTTATGATAAAGAAAAAGTAATCAATTTAACAACTTCGAATGAAGAAACTTTTATCAACTTACCTGGAATGCTGGAGGAGATGCGATACTTCCTTGCAAAAGACCTACCAAGAACTTGAATCTGACAGGTTCACCGAAAAGAACCCGAATTGCAGTCAGAGCTTCAAGAATCAGTGCGTGTCCCCTGCTAGACAACTCCAAAATACGAACCAGAAGCTGTTCAGGGAAAATAAGATACAAATCAACTTTTGTTTTTCTGTGCATGCATTTATCTATTACATTTCTTAACGTCTTAGTTAAAAAACAAAATGAAAGTAACATTTCCTTCGGCTTCCCGCCCAATTATCGTCCCCGTTTTGATGTTATATTTAAACTGAGGAGTGAAAAAAACAACAATCGAAAATGATTTTTGCAGGGAGTGAAAATGATCTATTGTTCTAAGGCTGCGAGTAAGATAATTATGATTTTTAAACGATGCCATTTTTTCTTTAAAAATTAGTGTGGTTTGTTTTTTAACGCTAACATCTATGTATATATATTATTATAGACATGAGATGGTTCTTAGATTCTGTCGTAGACATTATTTTTCTTATAAAAAATATATAAGGCAATTCGAAATGATCTTACCGACTTTCACAATAACAACTATGGTATAATTATAGCAAGTGTATAGTAATAAATGTGTAACAAATTTAATTAAATGGATCAACAGCCACGTTGGCTCAAAAGATAGAACGTTCACCTCCCATTGAGGTGACCCAGGTTAAAATCCCAGCTGTGGCTGGTCAATATAAACTCTACTCCCAGCTCGCACCGACCACAATGCTGATGAAAAATGTACTCTGTGGTAGACAGGTCATGAGTTCGAATCTCTTTGCCGTCGGAATAACCGTGGGAGGTTTTGCTGATTTTCCACTCCATTGCTCCTTTCGTGGTTTCTACGCAAATGCTGGTTAGTTCCAACAAAAAAGTTCTCCACGAAGGCTAGTTAGCCTAAATGATTAATCCAGAAGTTCCCTTGTCTTCTGGATTTGGGTTCAAGGTTACGGAATTTAACAATGATCGCTGTTAATTCAGAATTGGGTCAGCTGTTCAATGCCGGCTGTAATATAAAATTAAATAAAATGAATCTATCAAATTTTTTGAAGACACCTGAGAGAAATAGGATTCATAAATTTATTGTTTTTGTTGGCAAAAAGGTGGACATTCCCTTCAACTAAAAAAAAAAGGAATTAAATAATAATAAATAAAATTAAAAAAATCCCTAAATTTTTCTTTAAGAAAATAGTCGGAAGTTTAGAAAAAAAAATCATATTTAGTAAAAAGTTAAACATAATATTTTTGTGGGAGGTCTACGATTTTGCTGGATTGCTTATTTTGAGAGGCAAGGAAGAAGTAGGCCCAAATCTCATACACTTGCACATAAATATGCGTATGTAACAGTTTAATAGAAGTACAGTTTCATTTTTTGAGCTTGTTACAAATGTAATTTGTTTTTAAAATAATATTGTTCAAAATAAAAATATTTATCACTCATGATAGTTTAATGTAACCGTTATTCCCCAAACTTAATTTATTTACTTATGAATTTAAAATAATATATAAATAGATCAATGCACCAATATAATCGCAAATCATAGTTGTATTTGAGTACTGCATGCATCCCAAACTAAATTTTCAAGTGCATTTAGCAGAACTAAAAATAGGAAGACCCACAGCATTCGTGTTATCACTGAGTTCAGTGCCGACGCGAAACTGTTTTAAAAATAAAGTATTGTTGTTGTTGTTTATAATGCCACTTGCCAATACCAGCAAGCCTACTTGGTTAAACCAAGTGAATTTAAGGCAGAGGGAGGTCTTCTTGTTTTTCAGTTGTGCCATCTATGGCCAAGAAAATGACTTCAGCCACATACACACACGTCACAGCCCGTTTATAGGGCGGACCCATTCATACATTTATTTATTCATCTACAGATCGTAATGTTGACCTGAACCTGAGCACGATCCATCTCCGATTAATTTCCCCCAGAGGTATTGATTCGTCATGGAAACATGGAGGACTTTGTGACTCGACAAATTTAACGTGCACCAGTCACGTGGCCGGTGGGGATCGAACTCACGAAAATGAAGTAGTGATAAACAAATGTTTTGTAGTAATAAAAAAATAATAAACTATAATAAAAGTAGTAAATGTAATAAAAAATGAAATTATTAAAAATTGCTAGAAATGCACAAATTTTACTATGAACAAAACAATATTTACAATTTATAAAAAAATTACAAAATTGACTAAAAATTTGACGATTTTTTTCCCCTTCAAGAAGCCTTTTTTACAAGATTTAGAACAAATGTAAATTTACAATTCGCCTATGTCATTGTCCTACGGAACGGCTATCTTAAAGTAACTATTGATTCGAAACAAAAGAAGAAGAAGTTTTACACTATTTTTCACTTATTTCTGACGTACTGTAGGCATAATAAACACGAAAAAGAATTTTCCTTCAGTAAAAAGCGAAAGAATTGTATATGCATTCAACTCTCATCTTGTCCTTAAAGTTTCTCTTAGCCTACGTATTTTTTATTTCATTTTTCAAAGAGCAGTATTTTTTCATGTTCAATAAATTTTTACAATTTATACGGGTTCTTTTTTCTTCAGTATAAAGATAGTTTAGCATTTTTCGAAAACATTGTTCATTCAAATCCTATTATGAAAAGAAATAAACAAACTATCTCTTTGGCGCTTACGTTTAAAAATTTATGTATTTATTTAGGAATTTGATAATTCAGATTAATGAAAGAGCGAAGAGACATTCGTCCGTAAATACAAAAACTAAACATAGGTTTTTCTTACAAGATTTTATTTGTTCTAAAACTTTCTAATTTTTTAAAAACTTTTTTAACGATAGAGATACAAAGGGTTCAACAAACTTATAAAATCGAAGTAATGATGGTTACAACCTGGCACATATTTTTATGACTAAACGTTAAATAAATTTTCAGTTAGTCATAATAAGAAAAGAAACTTTAACAAACAGGTTTAATTCAATTTTTTGTCCTTGCCTCAAAAAAAAATAAAAAAAAATGTAATTAGATCTTTATAATCGAAATATTCAAAACTGGAAAAGTCATTAAATATATTAGTAAAAAAAATGTATTCACATCTATGATAAAACTTTTTTTAAATTGCAATTCTTTCCAACGTTAAAACTGAATGAAAAAAAGAATAAAGATAAAATCTTGTATTGAGTGTGGTCAACAGCCTTTTACTACTTCATTAACGTATCGGGGAAGAAAAAAGAAAGGCGGCACCTTCTCTCCTCACGATTTATCCTTTTGTTTAGTATTTGTGTTACCGCTGCGAGGCACTGTTTACTCACGCGATTTAAAATAAATCATAAAGAAGTGTTGCTTGGAGCATTTCATTAGGCTCAAATTTTCGCGCTTAATTTTCACTAAATATAACCTGGTAAAAGTAGAGACCATTTCTAATCCCTAGAATATGGCCACTCTTCAATAAAAAAATCTTCACATTTTTGCAGCAGAGAGCCACAACAATAAATTCCTTAAATCCTTACAAGAGAGTCACTTTTAAATGGATATATTCAGTATTTTTGCCCCAGATAGCTGCATGAATAAATTCGGAAAATCCCTACAGGATGATCACTTTAAAATGGGAATCTTCAAACTTTTGCACCAGACGGCCACATCTATAAAATGGGGAAATCTCTACAAGATAGTCACTTTTAAGTATGTTAAGATGTAAGTTTTTTAACCATTAAGATTGAGTCAGAGAACAGCGAAATCGTTAAATCAAAAGTTATTTTGGGTAATCGTTTTTTTTTCCGCCTTCCCCGCATTGTACATATTAGCTGTAACCATTTTTGTGATCTAGTATTCGAAATTATGGTAAAACGTAGGTTCTTTCCGTAAATGCTTAATTAAACGTAGGATGTTACTTTTTTAATGAATGCAAGGCAAAATCAATTGGCTTGAGTTATTTCGAAATACCCAATAATGTTTTTACAGACGTTATTTCTTTAAGATCTGTTTAATTATGGAAGACCTAACTATAAACTCACATTTTTCTTCATTGATAATTTTACAGTTAACAGTTCTTTATAATAAAGTTAATAATTAAATAGTTCTTTACTCATAATTTTATTTTACGCTTAGTTTCGTGCGCATCTATAGTTAAGATTCTTCCGTGTGATTTTCTAGGCAGATTCATCTATTTCAGTTAAAATTATTAATATAGCAAACACACCCGTTTCTAATAAATAGTGCAAACATCGAAAATAAAAACCTGACTTGCTGAGTGAATTTTTGATTTTTATTCGCAATTTTTTAAAATAACATTATATAAGACAAGGCAAATATAATGAAGAAAATAATGAAGGGATACAGCAAATATAATGAAGGAAAAATAAAATAAAATAAATAAATAAAAAATAAATGAATGGAAGCAAATCAAATTCGCTGAAAATCTTTATGAACATTGTGACTCAGCACGATTTTTTAGCAATTTTTATTTCAACGGCATTAACTATTCCTTCTTTGTTAACTAATACTACTTCTTTATAACTAACTATTTCCTTAACTATTTCTATTATTTTCAATTTTAATATAATGCCTGGAATGTCATGAGTTCTTTCCCACAAAAGCTTGCTTTTAGGCAACTTTTGTTTTACCCATTTTCCCCTCTTAGTTACACTATCATTGTTTAACTTACACTATCATTGTTTAACAAAACCTAGTAATCGGTTGCACGTTGCGCACTTAGTTTGACACAAGCAGCAAATCTATAAAATGGCGACATTTTGTAGGTGAATTGAAGTAAGAGCATAAATTACAAATACATGGATTCTGTTGCTGGTCATGGTTCGTTTGGTGCAACCGCGCCCATTGTTCTTTTGTTCTAATCCCCGAAAATGGATTGGTGAATCTTTCGGCATTCATCCGTAATCATTGCAGTTTTGTAAAGGCACGCGACTCAATCTGTGAAGAATTCCCATTCAGTTGACACTTTAATGTTCGAGGGGTGGTCCCGATGCTTCGATCTGAGTTTTTTTTTCTAAATTGAAAAATAACATCCATAAACGACAGGTGGATAGAGATGTTATCAACACCTTGGGAAGAGAATGTTCGAAAAGTGAATGTTATAACAGGATGGATTAGGGATGGATCATAAAGCAAAGGAGCTCTTAAAACTTTTATTT